CATGGGTCAACCAAAACTCAACTCAACCCATGAACCCTAATGAGTTGAAATTTTTGACTCAAATGAGTTGATGGATCAAATGAGTTATTGAGTCAAATGGGTTGATGGATCAAATGAGTTGGGTTGTAATGGGTCAGTGGTTTCAATGGTTTACCCATTTAAGCCATCAATTTTTGTTAAATTGAATCAAACCAATTCAAATCTTTAAACCGATTTCAATTTAAGTCTAACCAAAACTTCTAAACCGATTGAATATAGTCCTTAATTTTCCCGCCAAAAACGTAAATCCGTGATTTTCCCGCCAAATTTTTTTATAATTTTTAACCAAAATGAGAATGTAAATTTTTCCCGCCAAAAACGTAAATCCGTAATTTTCCCGCCAAAAACGTAAATCCGTGATTTTCCCGCCAAATAATAGTGACGTTGATTATTATTATTATTATTATATTTTAATTATTAATTTATTTATTACATTAATAGGTTAATGGGTCAACCCATTTAACCTTCTAACCCATCAAATTAAATGAGTTGATAAAATGAGTTGAGTCAACCCATCAACTCATTTAACTCTAAACTCATTGGGTAATGAGTTGAGTTGAGTTGGGTTAACCATTTTGACACCCCTAATTGTGCCCCATATAAAATTATGTTCCGGATCCGCTCCTCTTTAGAGGTAAAACAAGAAAACACGACATTTGCGACCCCCATATTGGTTGCAAAACGGTCGCAAAATAGGGTTTTGCGACTCTTTCACGACTAACTAAGATAGTCGCTAAAAAACGGTCGCAAAATTTTCCAGTCCCAAGATAGTCGCTAATTTGCGACTCTTTTCCAACATAAATTGTAGCGTCGCATATTAACGACTAATCTGTGACGGGTTAATGTCGTTGTATATTTCCGACTAAAGAGCGACTAACGTAAGTTAGCAACTAGTTTGCGACTTGTTTGGTTCAAACGAAAGAGTTCTTGGATCGAATATCTAGTCCCACATTAGTCGCAGACGATATATCTTTTAGTACCAATTTAGTCGCAAAAGAGTCTTAATTGTTTGCGACCAATTTAAGACTCTCATTGTTGTGTAGCAAAAGAGTCTTCTATTAGTAACCATTTTGATACTAGATTTGGAGTTTCTTGTAATAATGTGTAGTCACACATTGGTCACATTTGTTAATTAGTTTGGTCACATATTGGTTACACGTTAATAATCCCAAACCTGCAAATTCGCTTTCAAATGCAAATAATCCCAAACCTGCAATACTTCATTCAAATGCAAATAATCCATCATTCAAAAACACTAATAAAAACCATCCTAACAAAGTATTATAGAGTACAAAAACATAAGCAAATAAAAGACTAGTTTACAAGTTTACATAATATCATACCAAGTCTTATACTAATATCGTAAGTGATGCCTAAGTCTAAAAACAAAATAAAACTAATATAGATAGAGTCAAATTTCTTGAAGTGAGCTAGCTTAAAAGAGTAAAAACAATCAACTTTCAGTGGTGAAGGAAAGTGACGAACTTCTTGAAGCCTTACTAGCAGCGTTCTCTTGTTCCTCTGCCAATGTTCAAGTTGATTAAGGTCTCCAAGAACTGCATCAGTTATGGTTGGAGAGATGAGATGATTAAGGTCTCCAACTGTACAAAACAAAAAAGCTTATTACCAAAGTGAAGACAATCAAGAGCTGATCAAGCAATACATCAAAACTGTTGAATAATCTTAGTCATTTAAGAGACAGAACCATTCATGAAGCATACAATATTAGACCTCTTTAGGAAGAAATTTTTATATTAATTCCGTGTGACATGTGTGTTCCTTATACAATGCATATCTAGTGAAGTCACAATCTCTTTCAGCTAAATGACTTTGAGCTGATTCTAATTCCTAACTTTTACGAATGCATAAAAATGCAAAAGAACTTACTTTTGTATAACCTGACACAACCCAATGAACATCTGCAGGCCAACCACATAACCAAGTAAGAAACAATGACTTAGTGCATCTTTTGTTAATTAAGTAAACAAACTACTGGAAGGTCCAAAGTCACTAATTATTAAAAGGAAATTTGCTTTAGCCTTCTGGACCATCCTTCCTTTGGTCTCGATGTTAACACACCCATGTTTTAAACACATAACAAAGATGACCCAAATTCTTGAAATTATGATTTGACGAGTAGATAAACGTTGATGATAAGAAAAGAGATTTTACTTACTCTTCTCTGTTGCCAGTCCATTGTTCTTCAAGATTTCAGAGATTGTCACCATAGTATAATTGTGATTGCTGAATTCACTGAAGATTAGGTTATACATGTTTAAGTGATGGTAAGAGTCTTTAAATGAAACTGAATCAACCATATTCAGCTCATAATATCTAGTTACTTGCTCCAAAACTATACCTATGATGTCAACATAAAAATTGAAATGAACCAGATTTAGCTCTAGTTCATGCTCCGGATTCACATTTATATCAACCTCTCTAAGATTTCATCAGCCGTAACAATACATACTCAAAATACGTTCTCATTGGATCAAAACCAGAAACAAAATGCATACTTAAAGGATTCAATTTTAAGAGTTGAAAGAAGACTAATTACCCCATTGGCAATAACGACCCCGGTGACCACATGGACAAGAGAGAAGTAAGTCAACCAAGCCTCTCTCTTAAGCCTCATCCGGTAAGCAAACACGGCGGTGAAAAACGGCGTCCAAGCACCAATCGCTTGGTTAAACGAAACAGGAAGAAAGAAAAGAGAGATGTTTCCAAAGACCACCGACATACAAAAACGAGACTTAGATCTGAGATCTTAAAGAACTGAACTCGGGATCGAATCGTCTACATCGGCACCATCTTCAACCAAGCAATGGCGACGTAGATGAGTAGCGAACAAGCCGTCATGTGACACTTTTGGAACGATTCGGCTCCTGAGGCGGCGGTTGATGCTCCGGATTTGGAGGAGGCGGCGGTTGATGATGGGGATTCTGGTACATTGGTTGTGAAGCTTGAGCCGCAGGTTGTGGCTGACGGAGAGATCGTTGTTGAGACGATGAGAATGAAGCGAAAGAGAAGAAGAGAAGGAATCGATTCAGGGAGAGAGAGATTGAAACCCTAGATCGAGAGAGAAGAAGAAGAATCGCAGAGTTAGAGAGAAAAAACCTTAGATCGAGAGAGAAAGAAGATCGGGAGAGAATGAAGAAAGTGAAAAGTCGAGTGTGTGTTTTGCCTAGTAATTAACGAAAAGGAGTCGCTCTTTAGTCGCAAAACAATCGCAACATCAATTATTTGGGGGGAAAATTAAGCGCCCAAATACTTAGGGAAAATTTCATAAGATTTAACAAAAGTTGCAAAACAGTTGCAATATTCGTCGGAAAATGGTCACAAAACTTGTCGTAATTTAGTCACAATAAAGGTACAGGTCGCAATAATGTCACACAATAGTCGCAAACTGTGACTAAGTTGAGACAGACAATAAAAAGTCACAACACAAAAAATTCAAAATCTATGGATTTGATTCATTCTATTGATAGAAATCACTCATAAACACTCACTTTAGTAGCATAGAATACATGTATAAGTGTTAGGTTGGTCAAACCTGGCTTTCTCAACATATTTTATAAATTTTACAAAATTCTCTATCATGTTCATAAAGTAACATGATGAGTTCATATGGATTTAGAACTTTTGAATGTTTGGATTGTAAACATTAAATTTCAAGAGGTTGGTTGAGTCTTTTTTTACTAACTTCAATAAAATCAAAGTAGTAACATATAAGAAAACATGTAAACAAACTTCAATTTACAAATTTTGAATTGAAAATATCGAGCGTTGGTAATCAGTAGCAAAATAGTCGCTAATCTCAGGTGCTAGACGCGAAAGGGTCACAAAATAGTTAGCAAAATTTCTTAAAATATAACAAACATCGCAAAAGTCGCAAAACCGTTGAAATATTCGTCGGCAAATAGTCACAAAACCTGTCGTAATTTAGTCACAATATAGGTACAATCGCGAAAATGTCACAAACTAGTCGCAAAGTGTGACTAAGTTGAGACAGATAATGAGTAGTCACTATAGAAAAATACAAAAGTTTTGGATTTGATTCACTATACTGATAGAAATCACTAGTAAACACTCACTTTAGTAGCATAGAGTACATATATAAGTGTTAGGTTGATCAAACCTGGCCTTCTTAACTTATTTTAGAAATTTTACAAAATTCCCTATTATGTTCATAAAGAGACATGCTTAGTTCATATGGATTTGGAACTTTTGAATGTATGGATTGTAAACATTGAATTTCAAGAGGTTGGTTAAGTCTTTTCTAACTAACTTCAATAAAATCAAAGTAGTAATATATAAGAAAACATGTAAACAAACCTCAATTTACAAATTTCGAATTGAAAATATCGAGTGTTGGTAATATTTAGCAAAATAGTCACTAATCTCAGGTGCTAGACGCGAAAGGGTCACAACATCAGTCGTACAATGGTCACACAATATGTCGGATTATGGTCACAAACCTCAAATCTGATATTTCAAATGTTTAATATCGAGAGTTGTTAATATGTAACAAAGTGGTCGCTAAATCTCAGATAAATGTGATCGATTATCTTTGTTCGTCGCAAATATGTTGCAAAATTTGCGACCATTTTGTGACCTTTAGTCAAATTGTAAAAAAAAAGAGTTCTATAGATAACAAGTCGCTAAGTGGTCTCAAAGTGCGACCTTGTTGCGACCAAAAATATTGAATCGGTAAACGGTCGGATAGTAGTCGCTTAATTGAGACTTTTGTCCGACTACTTATTTCCGTCGCTAATAAGCGAACAGTTTCCATCTGTTTCGTTTGTAGATGTTTAACAGTCGCAAAACAGACACAAAGTAGTCGCGCTTTTTTGCGACCATAAAAATAGTCACAACAAAGAGTCCCAAATTGCAGGTTTTCTTGTAGTATATATAGATAAAAAAAAAACCACTTCACTAAAGGCACTTTCTCAAATATTATTCATTATTTAAACAATTTATCTTATACTACATAAGACAGAAATTAAATAAACTCAATGGAGTACTAGTTGAATATAGTTTTTGTGTTCGCACTGGATAATATTGTAGCAGCTTGAAGAGCAAAGTATGTAAGAATAACATCTGCACCAGCTCGGCGCATACAGATCAATGACTCCATCATAACTTTTTCCTCATCGATCATCTTGAGAAGTCCAGCAGCTTTGATCATGGAGTACTCACCCGAAACCTGACAAGCTCCAATGGGCAACAAAGTCTGGTCCTTCAATAAGCGTATGATATCGAGAGATGGGAGTGCTGGCTTCACCATTAGAATATCAGCTCCTTCAGCTTCGTCTTCTCGTGCTTCGAGCAATGCCTCTCTTGAATTTGCTGGGTTTATCTGATAACTTTTGTTTACAACAAAAAATTAGTTAGGAGGGCAAGCTAATAAATCTTTTAGATACATATACATAATTATTCATTTAGAAGAATTTAGTAGTTAATGCCAACAAAGTTAATTTTTCCTTAAAGCGTTTGGTGTGTGCGTATATAGTTGGTAAAGATTTTGGTTTTATTTGTAAAAATACTATACGATAAGTTTATAACATGTCAATGCAAAAGTAAACTCAAACGCAAACGTAAACACACAATCATGATTACAGTTGCTGTTTTACGTACGTTTTCTTGTCCAATTCCACTTGGCGAAAACGACCGTATAATGAACTTGTGTACCTGTTGATGCAGAGTGACAACCACTGATTAGATTTGACTAATTAGTAAAAAATAAAAAGAAGGTGAGATGTTATGAAGTACTTTACTTGACAGAGTAAGACATAATGGACACATGTTGAAAGCTCTCAGCATCTAGAGCTGCACGAATCGCGCCTACACGACCATCCAACATCTCACTCGTACATACAACATCAGCTCCAGCTCGTGCCTGCATCCGTTCTTATTAGAATTTGAAACGTTTAGTTTCTTTAATTCAAATTGTTTCATTTTTACCTGAGAAACTGCTTGTTTCCGCAATTGGTGTATCGTTTCATCATTCAGTATCACACCTATAAAACATAGATGGATGTTTCAGAAATTACTAGGAAAATGTCATGTTGTTTTAGAACGTATAAAATGGATTTCTTAATTCTTACCATCTTCTCTTACGATCCCACCATGCCCAGTTGTTGAGTACTCATCAAAATTGACATCAGTGTAGATAACCTTGGGAAATTAATAAAAAAATGGTCATTATTCAATGTTCAGAACCACTTCCTCTAGCTATTGAGCAAAGAGGACATATACATATATCTTACAATATCAGGGAATCTGTCCTTGAGAAGACGAACTGTCCGAGGCACTAGACCGTTATCGTTATATGCCTCTTCCCCTGTTGGAGACTAAACAAGGAAAGTATGATTATTGATGTATGGGAAGCCTTTGGTAGACCCGCGGTTATTCAAAAAAAAAAAAAAAAAAAAAAAAACTTCATATGGATTCATAACAATTAAGAAGATAAAAATGATTAAACCTTTAACGCTTCGGGAACTTTAGGATACAATTTTATGCTATTCACACCAACATCTCGTGCCCTTGCAACCTATTATCCTCAAAAAACGCACAATATTCAGTCAAAAAGAATGCTTCATTCTTATGATACTCCTACTAAATATGTTTGCATTGGTGAGACCGGTTTAAGTATCATAAAAAAAGAAATTTGCAAAATCAAAAATTAATATATTAAAACATAGGATTATAAAAAGGTAATATTACAATTAATTAAAAAAAATTGTAGAATATAATTAAGCAAAATAAAACATAAAATTCAAAAAACTGAAAAAATCATGATGATAAAGGAGGAGAGAAGAATGCGAAAACAAAGTTTTTTTTTTTCTCTCTTTTCCCACAAAAACGCGTTTCTCCCGACAAATCCCGAGCCGCCACGTCATCAGAGACTGGTATCAAGAGTATCACTCCAGTTATACTACTCAGACCCAAATCAGTTGTTTTACCCATTAATTTAATGTTTTTGGGCTTCTGATACCCATAAAAAATCTGCTATGTACATGGTCTTAAATTTATAGTCTCTAACTTTTTCATGTAAGATACAACACTCACTTCTTCGATGAGGCCGTGTCTCCAGCCAAGCATGTAACGTCCAGGCATCGTTGTTATCGGAATGTCTACCTCAACTGCAATGATGAAGTCCGAAGAATTTTACCAAAAAAAAAAAAAAAAAAAAAAATGAAGTCCGAAGAAACTAAGGATCTCAGGCGGAAGTCCAGACTAATATCCATATTCTTGCCATATAAAGAATCACATTGGCTGAATACTAATAATCATTTTCGATAACTAATCAAAACTCAAACTAACCTTCGTGAATGAAGAGGGGGTATATTAAATTTGCCGGAGAGATATTAGTCTCTCGAAAAGCATCTCTCTGGGTAGGGCACTTGCGGTTACGACGTGCGCGTCGGCTTAGCTGCTGAAACACTTAATTCACATTAGATTGAAAATAACAAAAGAAGTTTAAAGACAAAAATTTAAGAAAGCTTTTAGGCCCAAAAACTTCTTGGTTAAAAAATAAGTATTTACTTACAAGAGGCTGATCATTCAATGGTGCAGCTGGATTACTTGGAAGTGAAGGCGCCTCGATCCTTTGTAGTTGACAAGCAATGTCTTTGCTTCGGAAAGGAATGATTCTGACTTTACACGACGCAGCTCTAAGTCCGACGTAACTCTTCTGCTCCCGAATCTTGCAAGGAAATCTTAATATGTATAAAGCCATTTATGTATGCTGGAAATGGGGAAGAAAGAAACTTATGATAAAACTCAGAAAGTGAGAATTGTGTTTTATAGTACCTTTTTTTTTGTCTGCGTGTAACGCCCCGACCGCCATCTCTCTTAATGGGTCTCAGTCCTCTCTCGGCTCGTGGGTCCACCCATGTCCGACGGTCGGTCCGCTACGTCCGGAAGCCTTTAAAGACTTGTTTACCAACCCTACAAATCACCACATGAACTTTTCCTAGGTTTTGTCTTCACTCACACAGTTCCGACAATCACTTCTCGGAAGGTCACCCACCCGTCTGGATCTAGGTGGCCGCCTACTTTGCTTTTTTTAAAAAACTGGATTTTAGAGAATTTTCTTAGTTAAGAATACAAAAATATAAATTCCATGGTCTTAACTCTTATATAGAATTCGGATGGAATTTATATGAAAAACTGGATTTTAGAGAATTTTCTTAGTTAAGAATACAAAAATATAAATTCCATGGTCTTAACTCTTATATAGAATTCAGATGGAATTTATATGAAAAACCCATGAAAAATATGTGAAAACAAAAACTAAACATCGTAAATTGAGAAAGTTAATAACTATAGCAACATCAGAATTTGGATGAAGTAGAGTATGAAAAACAAATAAATCATATATATAAAATTTGGCTAACTCTCTGCATATGAGTGTCACATAATCACACACGAAAATGACATGTGTCATTCTATATTATTTTAAATAAAAAATTAACCAAATTAAATGAGAAAAATTTAAAGTTCTTTACTGCATTAAAATTTTCATCAATTCTACTCTTAAGTGATTTAATCAAAATTGAAAAAAAAAACAAAATTATGTTAATAAAAAGCACTTTTTCATTATACTCTCCTTTTTTTACTTTTTTTTAATCAATGATTACCAGTCGATATGATTCTTTATTTGCGAAGGTATTCAAAAGAAGATTTTATCGGAATTCAAATCCCATTGACCCAATTAGATCATACTCACCGTCTTATGGATGGCGAAGTATAGTATCTGCTCGACCTCTCCCAGAGATACTCTGAAATTTGCGGATACTGAAGCAAATGCTTTGAACTTAGCTCAACTGGAGATGGTAAAGGACGCACCGCCCCGTGAGTCAGCTGAGTCAGAGGTTATAAACACTACAAGGTATCGATGTTTCATTGACGGCTCTTGGAAAGAGAGTGACAACTACTCGGGTTTAGGATGGTTCTGTACACTATAAGGTGAGGATGAACCAACCATGGGCGCTGCCAACCTTCGACGAAGTCTCACATGTCTACACACAGAAGTGGAAGCATTAGTTTGGGCCATGAGATGTATGATTGGCCAAAACAAACGCAAAGTAAGTTTCTATACAGACTGCTTAGACAAGGATGAGTTTGGCAGAAAAAACTGTATAAAATATCCAACCACATCTAATTACCTATGTAAAACACTCATCCTTGAGCTATTTTAACTGTACTCGACGTGCAAATTCAAAAGCGTATAATTTCGCACGAAATGTTCGTACCCAACCGCATCTAATTACCTATGTAAAAAATATCCCCTAGAATTGGTTTTTATAAGCTAATCTAATAAACTTGTTGACAAAAAAAAAAAGAAAAAAGATTACCACTCGATAATGACTGAAACTTTATTTTTTTATAATTTAGTTGTTTGCTACCTAACCTCTAATTAGTTTAGTAATTTTACCTTGAGTCTTTCTCATTATTACGTTTTGTTATTCATATATAACTTCTCATATGACTTTCTCTCTTTTTTATTTTTGTGTATGGTAAGTTGGTAACATTGACGTGCAAGCTTTTTAAGTGATGAGCTTTTGAGACGTTAGACATACCAAATAATTCAAGACATGACTATTTCTTTTATATGGCTACATGCAATGGTAGAAGATATAAAAGTGTTGACTTAAATGACACTTTAGTTTTTGCTTTCTTATTCTATTTCATATGAAAAATCTTGAAATCTTGTTTAATTTATGTCTATCCAGTATTTAATAATGAGTCATCACGATGTAGTTAGAGTACTTGATAAGGAGAGTACACAGAAAAAGGAATTGTATTTATAATCAAGTTAGGCGAGTTTCAAATCACAAAAATGACATAATTACATATAATTGTATAAAAATATCCTATATTGTTGTTGTATGTATTCATAATGTTGAAAAAGTATTAGGATATCTATATTCATATTTTGTTACTCGAATATGTGTATAAAATATTTTCTTGTATGAAGTAATATAGAAATATAAATAATCAGATTTATACATGAAAATGTATAAATTTATATTTTAAGTCAAAAATGAAAAATTGTAACTACATAAGATGGTTTAATTTTACTAACTTCTCAATAACAAACAAAAAAAGTAAACATAAATTAGCAACAAGAACAATCAACATAATTTCTTCTTAACAATTTTCAAAACAAACCCACGCGTAACGTGGGTACTCATCTAGTCTATATATAATAGGAGAGTTTTCTCTCCATCTAGAATGTCCACATCATCATCCAAGTCATCCTCTTTTAATTTTGTGTGGGTTCCATATATTTTATTTATTAAAACAAAAAATATTAAAACTATAATTAATGGGAAATTGTTAAAAATACCCCTTTTGGTGTGCCCCTTTTCAAAAATGCCCCTTTTAGATGTCCATTTTTAAAAATACCCCTTTTTAAATCTGAAATTTTTATAAAGTTTTATTAGGTTTATAAGGTACTTATGGATTGTAACTACTACTTGAAGACTCGATCCAAGTATTTATAAGGTTTTATAAGGTGTTTTTAAAAGTTTTACAAAATATTTTAAATGATTTTTAAGGTTTTTCAAAAGTTTTACAAGATATTTTAAAGGTTTTTAAAGGTATTTAAAATGCATTTATAAGGTATTTATAAAGTATTTATAAGATTTTAGATACATAGAAATGTAGTTTGTGTATGTTTTAATAATATTACATACATATTTGGGTAAATCTTATATTTTTAAGAGCATTTTTTATAAGGTTTTAAAAAAGGGGTATTTTTGAAAAGTGGCATTGAAAAAGTGGCATTTTTGCAAAAGCCCCATAATTAATTTACATATTTTGTAATTTATATTATTATATTTCACTAAACAAAAACAGTGATTTACAAAAAGAATAAATTAAATAATAAAAAAATGAAAAAATAATTTATAACACAAAATATGAAATTTTTGAATAGAGATGGGATAAATATAAAATTAGATAATTGTATCTTAACATATAATGAGTAAATATTCCTAAATGATTAGAGATATGAAAAAATAACTTATCATATATTTTAATGATAAAACAATCATTTTTAAGATTTACAATTATTTAGTAGAATAAAACAAATAAGACTTAAAAATATACTAAATTTTAAATTTTTTACTGAAAATAAAAGGTACTAATTCATTTCTACAAAATACACATTTAAAATTAAAAATATATTTTTAATGTTAAAGTATCAATTCATGATACTGATTAAAAATAAGAAGGATTGAGTACATATTATTATTTATAATTATAATATAATATAATTAGTTACATTAATAAAATTTTCAATATTATCAGTGTTTTATAAATTAAAAAGTGGTGGTTTTCTTTTAATCAAATGAATACCTAAAAAAATAAAAACTAAATATTAATCAGAGTTTATGAAAGTTTAGCATAGATCGAAAAAATTGAAGGTGATTTGAAATAAAACAAAAACTATCCTAAACATCACAAATAAAAATAAAATAATCTAATCGAATAAGAAAGTGTAATAATAATATTTGTGAATGCTATTTGAAAATTAGAATAGTAATGGTAAATTGAAGAGTTTTTAATTAGAAGTAAAAGTTAAGGATTTAAAAAATGTATTTTAAAATTAGAATGATTTATATGAGTTTGTAAGTTACAAATTTTATGAAAATAAACATTAAGAATATTATATAGAGTAATAATATACGTCAATTATATATGTGAATTTGTTTTTTGTATTTTTCAAATGATCAAGATAAAGTGCAAAATTTGATGTTTGTAAATAGGAATGAGTCCATATATGAGATTTTTTTGTCTATAAAGCAATTTCACATGCACCAAACATAGTCAAAGAAAATTTATGACAAATATCTCTCGAGATTTTCTAATGTTCACTTTAATAAAAAGATCATGCAACTTATAAAAAAATTTGAGTATTGAAAGATATGAATGAGAAAATATATACGATCTATATTGAGAACTAATTCATAGTCGAGTATATTATATGTGAGCCAATATAAGGTGAAAAGAGAGTAGATGTCGGGAGACGACAAGTGACTCATAGAAGATAACAAGAAATATTATAGTGAAAAGTGTGAAAAATATTTACTACTATAGAAAGATAATAAAAATTTAAAATCTTGTAAAATTTAAATAATTCAAAGATTCGCATTGATAAAAAATTTAAATTAGAACCCCACGCAACGCACGGGTAAAACAATATATAGATGTAAGAGACTATTAATGCATCAAAAATTAGTTTATTAAAAAATGTAAAAAAAATTGATAGTTGAATTGAATATGTAGATATATATTAATTTACAACATAAAATGAGAAAAAAAATTGTGAATATCGCGGATTCCCTCCTAAGTCCTAATTTATATAATTAACAACATTTCAACATTTAAGAATCTATTCTATCAAATTTAATAATAATAATAATAATAATAATAATAACAATAATAATAAATAAATAACGAATTTATTCTCCGCCATTAGTTTTCTTAACTATATGCATATAAATTATTATAAATAATGTAAATGCAACTATACTAAAGACGAGAAGACCAAACGAATAGATGAAAATATAAGAATCTTTACTCAAAAAACAAAATCAAAGCCCAAAGAAATCTGCAATCTCCAAAAAAGAGTCAAAACCAAAATATTATGAAAAGAAACCCAGAAATTCTTGAAGGAGAAACTGTTGATTACGTTGTGCCGATTCAACATCATTTTTAATTAAAGGGGGCCCAAAATATAGTACAGAGGGCCAAAAACTGTTGATTTTC